ACCGCTCCAAAAGCAGCACCTAGTGGCAAAGAATGAATTTGCATTTTCATTCAGACCAACCCGAAAAGACCAACAAGTGGGCGGGCAATATGCTAATGTTTCATGTTGAGGTCACCATGAAACGGCTTGGGATTCGTTTTAAAAAGGACTTGTTTCAATGATTCAGAGTCGACTCTTTCTTTTGAGAGACAATAACTTTATACACGGTGCACTTTCAGATTTAAAACGTTGCAGGATTTTTTCATTCACTTTGAGCTGTGTTAAGGCGGGTGTACACGGTGCGATTTTTGCTGTCGTACGAGCTCGCAGGCGATTTTTTTCTCTCGGGAGAAAATCGCAGATGCTCGCATGGTGGCGGCGTCTTGGCGGAATAGATCTGCTACGCTGCTGCAGCAGAGCAAGTACAGAGACTTGCTACTGCTAATACATCCACAAAATGTTGCTGTGAGCATGTAAGAAATACTGCTGCTGCACATATGACATGCGAATAACCCACATATAGCATACATGAAATCACCCTGTAGCAGATCTATGCAGGTGGAGCTGGGGAAGATGGAGGGTTTCTGAAGTGCGCCACAAAATGCTACGACAAAAAAAGCAAGGTATTTGAATATTGAGCAGTAAGCTCATTGGCTACCGATACAGGAGAGAACCAATCAGCTGCCATGTGACAATGATGTCACCAGGTCAGATTGAGCTAGACCTATCGGACTGCGCCATCTAGAGTTTCATGCCAGAACTCTGCATTTATTTCTGATTATAAACTCTAAAATCATGACAAACTTACAGATTTCAGCAGTTATGGGTTAATCAGATCCGTTTTTATTGCCATCCATCTGTAAGAAAATGCAGGGGCTCAAAGTATAAGGCACCCTTTCCTTGGCTGAAGCAATGTTAAAGAAAGCAAAGAAATTGTGTCAAGATATTCAGCTCAAAAAGGCACTAAATGATCAGCTCTTCCAGAGCTTGTGTCACAGGCTTTTGAGGAGTTTGGCCTATTGGTACTTCAGCTCTGACAGAGCAATTTTTCCTATAAAATTACCATTACAAAAATAGGCACCATGATGGCATTTATAAATCCTATTGTTCTTGTAAGACAGTGTTCAGTAGGCAGTTGAGATGACTCTGAACGGGCAACAGGTCTGATGAACCTGAAAAAAGAAGAAGAAAAAAAAAAAAGATTAGCACAATTAATTCTCTTCCACTGTACAGATAAACGGATCTAAACTGGGATCAAACATACTTTTCCTGTTCAAATACAGGCGATCATTTCTATCATGCAGTGATGACATTCTGCAATAAAAACAACAGGAAAGCTAAATTAAATGATACAAAATGACACCAAAATACAGCACAGCTTAATGCTTTAAAAACGGGAAAAAAATACAAGAAATGGAAGGAAATAGATCATGTGAAGTAGTGGCCATTCACCTTACACGCCCCACAGGTCTCCATCTCCCTCCTCACATGAAATGCAAGAACTTGGCAGTAAAAAACCTAATCAGTATCTCAAATGGCAGCATGTTATACTTTACAACACTTTTGATGCAACAAAATACAAAGAAGAACATTCACTTTTGCACATTTCAACAATTAAGACATTCAGTGGTAGCAGCAAACATCTGAAAGCTACAATAAATATCAAATGTCATTGTTTTATCACTGAACACACATTTGTGAACTGTGATTAAAATACAATTCAGATGCTGAACACCAGTACACAGCTTGAGCAGCAGTCAGTAACAGTCACAAAATATACTATAAAACCATACATTACATAAAACACATATTCGGCACTTTGTAGCTGCTTCTGTCCACTGCGTCTTTCAGTGCACTTCTTACAAGTTTAGTTCCTGAGAGTTTGCTCAAGGACACAATGGTGAGATTTCATGGATTGACCCTTGCTGGATTTCAACAACCTTTCTTTAACCACAAAGGTATGTTAATCAAACAATCAAACATCAGCGTGGACTGTGAAATGTTCCATTTCTTAAATATTACTGTTAAAAATGTCAGTTTACAGTTGACAAAGCTGCCTGAACAAGAGAGGTTTGCTGGTTAAATTAGGTGTAGAACAGCAGCATCCCAAACTCAACATACTGGCATTTCATCGTCAATGTTCCTCTGTCCAAGCTAACAAAAACATATTCCAAGAACATTTTGCTAATGTTCCCATTGAGTTAAGAAAACATTATTTCTGAAAGGTTCAAAACATCCATTTTTTAAAATAAAAGTTCTGAGAACATTTCCCGTTAGCTGTGGTAGTGTTGTCAAGATGACAATGATAAATAGTAAAGATGGAACATTATAATGCTAATTTGTACATACAGTATGTGAAGAGCACTCGTATCTTGCAATATGACATCTTTTGGCCAAAATGCCCATCTTGAAAACATATTTTCACAGCCAGTTATATGTAAACAAAACATTTGATATGTCAAGATCCCATTTACCTGCACCCAAACAATCTGTAATTGGATTGATGGCTCAACTGGATGGCAAAACCTTCCTGTAAACACTTTCGATCAGATTGAAAGGGGTAGTGTAGAACTGAAATAATCGGATCTACATGATCAAATTAAACATGTAAATGCTTAAAGCTTGACTATCTTTGTCAAGTGTATGTTCCTGTTTTCCTTATTTGGTCCTTCCTGTTCCTGTCCTCGTTGAATCCTATGAATTTGGTTCCAGCTGTGTTTGTTTAATTAGTTAATTTGCTCCCAGGTGTGTCCCATTGGTGTCTGTGTATTTATAGTGAGTCCCGTTCTGAGTTTCTTTGTCCGGAATTGTTTATGTTCTCTCCTTGTGCTACGTGTGATTCCCTGAAGAAGAATATTAAACTCCTTTGTTTTGTACTCCTGGTCTCCTCGTTTCTCACTCTGTGCTCCCCACAGTAGCAACCCGTGACAATCTTCTCAGTCCGATTAAAAAAATATGCATGATGCATCATGTCTTACGAATGTCCGTTTGCTTATTTAGATAGAACTGGTCAGTATACGAGACCAAATATTCACTAAACATTTGCAAAAAAAAAAAAGCTCTTTTGACATATGTCAGCTTTTTTTTTTTAGGTATGTTATCAAGGCAAACATAGTACTTACACTTGCGGCAGCTTGTGTGAAATTTTCAAGGTGCTCCACAAAAGTACATCTTGTTTAAAATGGTTTTGACTGACGTCACTGGTGTTGATGCAGACTACTGATTACTATGATGTCCCATTAGATTAGATTAGATTAGATTAGATTCAACTTTGTCATTGCACATGTAAGGTACAAGGCAACGAAATGCAGTTAGCATCTAACCAGAAGTGCAATAAGCAGTAAGTACAGGATATACAGTGTCTACAATGTTACAAATGTACAATAAATATACAGATAAGGCAGTACTATGGACATAATTTACAGATTTTTAAATACTATCAGCATGATATACAGATAGGTATACTATGAACATACTATACATATGGATTATGTAATAAGTGTATGTACACTATAAGCAGAAACTATGAACATATGAACATCATTTACAAATGAATATGTAAGCGATACATTAAGCTGTACAAAACACTAGTGCAATGGAAATTTAAAAAAGTGCATAGAAAATATTGCAGTGTGCAAATGGATCATTCAGTATTCTGGATGAACAGACAGTAGTGCAAGTAATAAGTGTAACAGTTGTTTTTTTTTTTTTTGTAAACCAGATGTAGTGATGAGGAGAGATGTGAGGAGTGTGTAGTGTAGTGGTGGTGGGGGGTCAGCGGGCAGAATTCAGTAAGGAGACAGCTGTAGGGAAAAAGCTGTTCCTATGTCTGCTGGTCCTTGTCCGGGGGCTCCTGAAGCGCCTCCCGGAGGGCAGGAGGTTAAACAGTCTATGGTAATATTAAACTCCTTTGTTTTGTACTCCTGGTCTCCTCGTTTCTCACTCTGTGCTCCCCACAGTAGCAACCCGTGACAATCTTCTCAGTCCGATTAAAAAAATATGCATGATGCATCATGTCTTACGAATGTCCGTTTGCTTATTTAGATAGAACTGGTCAGTATACGAGACCAAATATTCACTAAACATTTGCAAAAAAAAAAAAGCTCTTTTGACATATGTCAGCTTTTTTTTTTTAGGTATGTTATCAAGGCAAACATAGTACTTACACTTGCGGCAGCTTGTGTGAAATTTTCAAGGTGCTCCACAAAAGTACATCTTGTTTAAAATGGTTTTGACTGACGTCACTGGTGTTGATGCAGACTACTGATTACTATGATGTCCCATTAGATTAGATTAGATTAGATTAGATTCAACTTTGTCATTGCACATGTAAGGTACAAGGCAACGAAATGCAGTTAGCATCTAACCAGAAGTGCAATAAGAAGTAAGTACAGGATATACAGTGTCTACAATATGTTACAAATGTACAATAAATATACAGATAAGGCAGTACTATGGACATAATTTACAGATTTTTAAATACTATCAGCATGATATACAGATAGGTATACTATGAACATACTATACATATGGATGGCATTAGCATCCGGTGGAATATAGGCTGCAGTTATAATGGTGGAGCCACAGCCTGATCAGTGGTTGTCCCTTTAACAACATTCATTTCAATACCATTTTCCCCAGATAGCAAGTTTTCTGCTGCACCATTCTCCTGAAACAAAGAAAACAGAATCACAGAAGGTGATCAGGATTGATGATCCAGTTACACAAACACATCTGATGTTTGCTGAATGTAAAGATTCAAGTTCTTCATTCTGAAGTAAAACAGCACAAGTGTGGTACTCTCTTAAAGTCAATTGTTATAAATTATAAACATATTATGAATTATTATTTCTGAATGAAACCACATATACTTTCACACAGAAAGCTCAAACAGATAAACGTCACAATGATCTCAAAGATCAGAACTGTTGTAAATTCATAGGGTAGTACCTCACCTCATTATGATTGTTCTGCCCCCTGGTGTCTGTTTAAACAATAAAACAAAATCTTAGTTTGGTCAATTACACTAAAAAGACACATTTTTAAAGATAATTTTTGTATAATAAATCCTATATTTACATTTAATGAGATCAGTTGCATGTAATACTTGCCATTTTGTTTTGTTTTTGTACATTCCTTGTGGCAACAGTAAATCACAACAGCTACTGCAGCTACGAGCAGAACACCACCAACAGCACCACCAATAACAGCAGCATTTGTTCCTGGTGCAGCAGTTGAAGGTGGACCTGGATCTCGAACAGCTGAAGACAGACAGCCATTATTATTAGAGATAGTCTGAAAATCAACTGTATCAATACTTTTGACTGATTTTTACACCTTTCTGCTTTCAGCACAATGCTGTTTGATATGGATTTATTTGATAAATGGGGCCATCTGGTGGTTTTTTGAGCAACATCAGCTAAAATAGTGGCTTTCACAGGAAAATTGATTAATATATAAATACAATTTTTTCTTATTATTAACAATAGACTTCAAAATTGTAAAATGCATAATGTGACACATATCAATGTAACAACCGTCTGTCACTATAATATGACAACCTATTTGAAGATGACAGATTATCAATAATGAAACCATTTAGTTGGATGATTTATATTTCAAAGTGTTTTCTAAAACTGCTCAAGCAAAAAGGCACTGAATTATTAAATGATACTCACCAGCAACAGTAACACTGACAGTGAAGCTTCTAATGATGCTGATTCTGCTGCTGTAGATCTGTTGTTGATAAACTCCAGAATCTGTGGTTCTGGTGTTTGTGATGGTCAGAGATCCAGTCTGATGATCCAGCTTCAGTCTGTCTCTGAATCTATCTTCACACTGATCATCTGCACAGATCTTACTCTGATCTCCAGTGATTTCAACAATGAGAGTGTCATTAAAATACCATCTCAGCAAATCATTTTGGCTTATTTCACCAGAGTATAAGGTGACATTTTCTCCCTCCTTTTTCTTAATTTCATCTTGTTCAGCAGCAGAAATATCTGAAACACAAACCAAACGCTGCTTGAAGTTTTTTTTTTTACAGGGGAAAGGAACATAACATGAGAACTGTGGAATCTATAAATTACACTTTAACAGTAAATGTGTGCTTTAAGAAATTATATGTGAATTAATACACAGGTAAATATAATAAACACCGAATGTCACTACAACAATATTACTAAACATGAATGATGTGATTTAAATGTACAATACTTGCTTTTAAACATAACTCACCATGGACGGCAAAACTGAAGGTCTTGTCACCCTCGCCATTGTTTGTACTGCTGATCCTTAGTTGAAAAAGTCCAGCATCTGTGGTTCTGATGTTTGTGATACTCAGAGATCCAGTCTGTTTGTCCAACTTCAGTCTGTCTCTGAAACTCTCAGTGTAATTATTACACTGAACATCTGTACAGATCTTACGGAGATCTCCAGTGATTTGAGCGATGCGAATGTCATTAAAATACCATCTAATTCTGCCTTGTTGGTTTGTTTTAACATCAGTTTGGAAAGTGACTGAATCTCTCTCCATCACAAACACTGAGACTCCATCTGTATTAACACTGAAAAAACCTGAAAAATAAATGAACAGTTCATTAGGATTTATAATAAACAATACTGCCCATAAAATGTTTATTTTGTACTTATTAAAATTGTTCTGTTTTCCACCACATTAAGGTACAATGTCATGTTTTTCTACAAAATCCGATTATTTTTACTACTACTGTTTGAATCTCCTCCATAAATAACATGTTTTCATTTACATTTTTACTCATTTGGCAGAAGTGTCCACTGCAATCACAGACAGATGGACTAGTAGACAGACTGCATCATTGAAAGGCTTTCACAAAACCGTATTACCTTCTGATAGAATCACAGAAATAACAAACATGGCAAGGGAAACGTCACCCACAGTCTTCAAAAAATAATTACTGGCATTAGGGCTGGGTATCGTTCAAAAATGTTCAATATCGATACCGATACCTTGACTTCGATACTGGTTGCTGAACGATACTTTTTTTCAAAACCAATTTTATAAAATCAATTTTAACAAGATTACATTATCTAAAAAAAAAAAAAAATAATAAATAAATAAAAATGTAACCAACAATAAATCAGTGCAAATAGTTTTAATAAAGTTTAAATAGTCTTCAGTTTACACATCTGTTAGGCTACGTTTAAACTTGTGCGTGTTCGTTTTAAAATGCATAGCTTAGACAGAATCATCATTTCTATTCATTTTCCACTGATTTACTGATGAGCATTAGCAGCTTCCAGCACTGTCCGCCTGTGTTCTCTCTTCCATGATCGCTGCTCTGACTCAGAGATAATAACATATTTCAGCAACATTACATGGCTAAAACACACATTAGACGGCAATCGAAAGTTTTTAAAAACACTCTATGGTGGTTTAAAGTGAGTTTTGAGTAAATAAGATTTATATTCCCCTTTTATTGTCTTATGTAGCATGATGCTACAGTGTGCATGAATGGTCACATAACACGTACTTTCGGTTGTGTTGTATGAATGAACAGACATCTGCATATGATCAGAACTGGAACTGGAAATGAATGACTGATCGGTCTGTCATTTGTCAGGGATAGTGGAAAGCCGGCTTGAAACACAGTGGAAACGCTAGTATGACGAGGATCGTTTATATTTTAAAGGGGTCATATGATGCTATTGTAAAGATCATTATTTTGTGTATTTGGTGTAACAGAATATGTTGACATGCTTTAATGTTCAAAAAACTTCCTGAAACCACGCCTTCTTTCTTTGCGTGCACATTTGGGCGGCGTTATGCAAATCTTTCCACATAGTGACGTAGATATGTGGGGGCGTGTTAGAACGAGCTGTTTTAGGTAGGCGTGGCATTTCTATGAACAACAAAAAATTTATTTTTTGTTACTTACTGATAATACTTCACTGATAATCCTCTCTATGGAGAAGCGATCGGCGCAAAAGAATCGCTGAGTCAAAATTGACAGGGCTCGTTTCCCAAAGCAACTACGGTCGCAAGTAATGTCGTTATAGTTCAATGTAATTTAACAACCACAGTTTGCTAACGATGCTTTTGGGAAACTCACCTCAGATCCATCCAGTTTGTGAACCATTCACACTGGTTTCGTTAAACAAAATAAATGATTCATTTAAAATATTGACTCAAAAGAATCATCTGTTCACGATCACGAATCGGATCATGAACTCGCATTACCACGCGAAAGATGATCTATTCTTAAACATTTCGAATGAATAAAGACTTCAAGTTCATCTGTAAAGCTATCGTTTGACTTCATAAACGTTTATTTCATGCATGATTCGTATGGATCTGTTAACTGAATGCAAAGTGTGAATTCTAGGAGAATTCGGTGTCATTTGCTAAATGAACAGGCTGCTGCAATATTAAACGTAATGATAACCATTCAATGCTCAAAATATGAGAAAATAGAAACGCAAGCGTTTTTCAGATGAGAAGTTGAATCCTTCGATGCTGATAGAAGTTTTGTCGCAGGTAACTTGGGCATAGATTGCACTGAGATGTTACGTCCTTTTTCAGATTTATAAGTAAAATAGTCTTTGTATTTCCACAAGAGAAATGCATTACACGAATGGCTTTCTGTTGTGTCATCCATTTTTGTGCCGTGATGATGCACTCTCACTACGAGTTGCTAAATAAACAGGCTGCTGCACACAGTTTTTTTTAACGGAGAATCTGCCTTATTGGTTAAAATCCCCAAATTGTTTACTTAAATATTAAATGAAGAAATTACATTAAAAATTTAAAGTAATCACTTTGGTAATCTAAAATACTTTTCGGATGTAACTGTAATTTGATTACCACCTATTTAAAATGTAATTATGACAAAATACAGTTACTCATATTTTGTATTTTAAATACGTAACGCCGTCACATGTATTTCGTTACTCCCCAGCCCTGATTATTAGACAAACTTCTATCCGTATTAGACAGAACTGAACGACGACAGCAAAGAAGAGGGAGAATGTGAGCTGAAAAATAAAAGTCCCGCCTCGAACACATCGGCCAAACAGAAAAACTTATCGGCCGATGCCGATATTTGAAAAATGCCAAATATCGGCTGATATATATCGGCCTTGGCGATATATCGGTCGACCACTACTTTTAATCTAATGGGGATGGTGGGGGGATGGGGAGGATGCAGAGGGGATGATTTTTGTTATGTATTTTTTCAACATTCCCCTTCAAATGATGTTATTTAAATGTACAAGATTAGCTTTTCAAAATAATGACTCACCACGAACAGTAACACTGTAGGCCTTTTCACTGTTACTGCTGTTTCCACTGCTGATCTGTAGAAGATAATCGCCAGAGTCTGTGGTTCTAGTGTTCATGATGGTCAGAGATCCAGTCTGATGATCCAGCTTCAGTCTGTCTCTGAATCTCTCAGTACCTTCATTACACTGAACATCTGTGCAGATCTTACTGAAATCTCCAGTGATTTCAGCGATGCGGGTGTCATAAAGATACCATCTAAGTCTGTCTTGCTGGTTTGTTTCAACACCAGTGTGTAGACTGACTGAACTTCCCTCCTTCACTGACACTTCACTGACTGATCCAACACCAGACACACCTGAAGAAGAAACAAACACACAATCGTAAGCCAAACAAAATGATACAACAGGAAAGTGTTAAAAAAAATGTATTTTATTAAGATGATAATGATTATAGGTAAAGAAATATGAATGATACATAATGTAACATGCAAACAAACAGCAGAACATCACTGATTTACAAATGCACTCATCAGACAAACATACAGTCTCATGAACAGTGTTGGGCAAGTTACTTCCAAAATGTAATACATTATATATTACTAGTTACTGTCTTTTGAAAGTAATTAGTTACATTACAATATTACTGTCTCTGAATTGTAATGCGTTACACTACTTTTAAGTTACTTTCACCAAAATATCCACAGAAGTATTATAAAATGCCAAAATGTAGTTTATTGCTGCTCATTCTACACCCAGTGGAGGGTAATGTGGTAGGTCTATATAGCATACAATTATAAAATCATATTTAGATGCCGGTATGTAGGTCTACATTAATGCTAAGTTGTAGTTTAGGTTAAACATGGATAAGCAGAAACCTCGTTATTACATTCATAAATAACACCGGTAAATAAAGCGAAATGTTATAATGTACAAACAATAAACACAATACCTAGCCTACAGGCAAATTTGAATGGTTTCAGAAGAATACAAGAATGAAAAATATAAGTTGCTATTTGCTAAACAAGCTAAAACGAATTAGGTTAATCAGTGGCGGCACTAGGGCGGGGCTTGACGGGGCCCATCAGAAACTTGCTTAGCCCCGGCACAGCCCACCCAAGGATTTCCTAATGATGTTCCCTTATTTTTGGTGTCACTTTCATTAACATTAAAAAAATGCCTAATATGTGGCCTATAAACTATTGATATTATGGGGGAGGGGTCAAGCAACACAAGCAAGCAACGCGCAAACTGTGCAAGAGTTATGCCGGTGAACGTCAGTAAATTCACTATAGAGAAAGTGAAAGTAAAAAAACTGACGGAGCTTTCTAACGCTGCATTAACGGCACATATTCTCTGAGACAAAATTACTTCAATATAGGCTGATGACGGTATATAACTGTCTTAAATTATTCCCTTAATATTTCTCTTGTGGCCCATATCCTATAGTGAAAAACATGAGAAGAAACGTATTTCGCGTTAAACAGGCTGTTTTTGAAAATCTGTGCACGAAATAAAACTGCTCTTAATTTTCATCGATGACTGCAGTGTTAATAATTTTAATTATAGGCCTATAACTAAATTGTATAAATTAATAGACCTGTTTAAAAAAAACATTGTCAATGAGGAGTAGCCTAAACTAATAGCCTAAATTTTAATAATCCTCACAGCGCGCCATACGGCGCGGAACGGCATAGTCAAATGATTTAACAAAAACAGATTTTGTTATTTTTAGTTGAACTTAATTTTTGTTGCTTGTCTGCGCTCGTCCGCCGCCTTTTTTCTCTTCTCCGACCCCGCAGCTCTCTCCGATACTGTTAAGTGGCACCAGTCCAGTGTTTCCAGGTTTTACTCATGCTATTTCTCCATGTTGAGAGTTTGGTGTCGCACATATTGCTAAGCATTCTTATCCTTTTCTCCGGTAAACTGAAAATAACAGGAGTGTGTCCATCTCACAAATGTAGAATCCGTCTCTTCATTCATCTCAACCATCTAATTCCAGCAACAGAAGATAGACAAACTATTTTACCCGCGGATTTTTTTCTCTGGTGCTGTTTTGCGGTGTTAGTAATATGTTGTTGTAACTTGCGTTATTGAGATTATAACGAGTAATAATATTACCCAAATTTTATTAGTAATGCGTTATATTACTGCGTTACAGCAAAACGTAATATACTACTGTAATATCATTACTTTTGTAATGCGTTACTCCCAACACTGCTCATGAATGATCTTATACAACTTCATGATCGTCATACAACCGATAGCATGTTATTATTTTTAGTACTGTCCTGAATAACACTTTTCAGATAACAGACATTTACTGTAGACAAAATAACACAACACAAAGGAATCAGTTCAAGAGTTTACACAAGCTTGATACTTAATGTGTTATGTTATTTTCTGGCTAATCAATAAAGATGTTTTGTGATAGTTGCTCATGAGGCCCATGTTTGTCCTAAGCATTGGTTGACCGGTCATTTTTTGATGAATGATTCACAGTATGATCTGTACATTCACGCAATCCAGAATTTTCGAATTCAACCTCATAATGAATCAAAGTTGAACATAGCCATAACATTTTTTTTGTACTTAATGGAAAATGGTGTTACCCTCCCCCACATTACAATGAGGTGTTTTTTTCTGTTTTTGGTCCTGCGGTTTTAATCTGCCACGAAAATAAAATGTTTAAATTTACATTCTTATTCATTTGAAAAGCTTTTATCTAAAAGCGTCTGACATTGCATTCGATCAGTTTGTGCAACATTTGCTCGCGGTATGATGCCATATTACTTTTTTTATTTTTTGATCTGGGCCTGTTTGCAGGGTGCAGGCTAAATGCGTCACATTCGTAGTTCGTTTTTATCATCGACAAACAGCGAGATTTTAACACATAAATGCCATGTCATAGTCAAGCAAAAATCACGCACTCCAAAATACAAATGATATTTCTGTCGAATAAGAGATTAGCTGACATTAAACAAACTGCGTCACATCCACCGGCCGGCATATTGACAAGAGGCCTAACTGTTAGTACATTTTAACACGTATCACGCTGTCCTATAGCTTACATCTGACAGCTTCTGTTTTGTCCCATAAAGCATGCTACCCATGCGTGGGACTGTTTTGACTAAAAAAGTGATTATTTTAACTGAAAATAGCGGTTAACATAGAAAAGCGATGCTAGCACAAATCTTACCGTGGTAGAGTAAACAGCACAACAATAAGGGCAAAGTAAAGCGACTATTCTTTTTTAGCAGTTTTTCTAAAAAAGAAATACAGATTTTTATATGTAAAAGTGATATGGAAGTGTTGTTCTGCATCTTTAACGCAGAAGCCGTCATTTCACTCGTAAGGTGAAACTGACAGTCGTCTTCTTCTTCTTCTGGTGTTTTATGGCGGTTTGGCAAACCAGCGAAAAGGTGCATTACCGCCACCTACTGATCTGGAGTGTGCATACATTTGGAAGAAAGAAATACAGAAGGGAAAAAAAGAAAGAAAAAAAAAAACCTAGATTCTATCTATTGTTCCTGTGTTTTCTTGCACTCTTGATTGCCTCGACCGATTTCCTAACAATACTTTTAAAGAAATATTATCAACTCCCAGCCATCCTAATTCTTGAATTAATTGAAATCTCTCCCTTTCATATGCAGACACTCAAAATTTTCCTTTCATTTCCAACACACTCCTGAATCTGGAAAAGTTGTCTTCTTTTAGACCCATTATTCCATAACTGTTGCCATTTCTTACTTCAAATGATATCACTCTCTTGAATTCAGCTTTACTTAAAGCTAACTTAATTTCTATTTGTGTATGATTTAATGCTTTCTTTGCTAGCAAGTCTACTTCCTCATTTCCATCCACACCCACATGTGCAGGCACCCAGAGGAATCGTACCTCTATCCTTAACTGCCTTATTCTAAACAAACTTTGTAAAACTTCAAATACTAAGTCTTGCCGAGCTTCAGATTTACCACTTAGTAGGCTAGTGAGCGCAGCCATTGAGTCAGTACATATCACAGTTCTATCTGGTTGAACTTCTTCAATCCACTGTAGAGCTAGTATGATAGCTAATAATTCGGTAGTAAAAACTGACACATGATCTGATAATCTTTTAGCCATTTTTATTTTAAAAGTAGGAATATAAACTGCTGCTGCTGTTCTCCCAGACTCTGGCTCCTTAGACCCATCTGTAAATACCTGTAACACAGAATAATACTCTTGTTTTATATATTGTTGAACTACTACTTCAGTTGGCATGTTCATCTCCGGTTTTTTTATTACTTTGTGAATTTGTAAATCAATTAGTGGCATAGGGAACAACCAAGGAGGAATTGCTGGAATAGCAACAGAAGGAGCAATTTCATGGTCTTTCAACTCCAAGCTGTATGCCTCCTTCCTTACTACCCAACCTACCCAACCAATTTCTTTGTATTCATATTCCCAACAATCTTTCAGAATTAGTTTAACTGGATGGTTTTCATGGTTTTCCTTTACACCATACCAGTACCTTAATCTCAGCTGAAACCTACGCTGTTCTAGAGGCAATTCTCCCATTTCAACTTGTAATGAAGCCACCGGAGAAGATCTAAATGCTCCACAGCAAATGCGCAAAGCTTGATTTTGTATTACCTCTATCTTTTTAAGTAAGGTTTTGTTCGCAGAACTATAAACTACACTACCATAATCTATGTTTGACCTAATCACAGCACCATAAATTCTTTTCAATGACTGACAGCTTGCCCCCCACTCAGCTCCGGACAAGCACCTTAATACATTTATTCCTTTTTTGCACTTTTCTATCAATTTCTGAATATGAATTTTAAAATTTAATTTAGAGTCCATCCACATACCCAAAAATCTTAGTACATTTACTTGTTCCAGCTGATAACCATACATTTTGACATTCAAACTTGGATTCTTTTTCGAAAAGCATATTACTTGTGTTTTTGCCACAGAAAACCGAAAACCCCAACAATTCGCCCAATTCTCCACCTCATTCACTGCTTTTTGCATTTTATTTTCTACAAATAAAACATTGCGCCCCCTTTTCCATAGTGCTCCATCATCCGCATACAATGATCTTCCTATTCCAGTATCAACGTTATGAAAGATGTCATTTATCATTAAATTAAAAAGAATAGGACTGCTCACACTTCCCTAGGGAGTACCATTCTCAATTGGGAGAATCTGAGAAAAAGCAGTCCCTACTCTTACTTGAATTGTTCTTCCAAACAAGAAACTCAGAATCCAGTTATACATTTTTCCATCAATTCTCAAGCTTTCCAATTTCATTAAAAGCCCCTCTTTCCACAACATATCGTAAGCTTTTTCTACATCAAAAAAGACTCCCACAAGCACCTCTTTATTAATTTGAGCTTTTCGAATTTCAGCTTCCAAACACAATATTAAATCCATCGTATTTCTCCCTTTTCTAAATCCACTTTGACATGCTGAAAATATGTTTCTACTTTCAATCACATAAGTCAACCTGTTCATAACCATCCGTTCCATAAGTTTGCATAAATTTGATGTCAGCGCAATAGGTCTATAATTAATTGGCTGAGACTTGTCTTTTCCTGGTTTGGCTATTGGCACTATGACCCCATGCTTCCAATCTTCTGGCAAATTCCCTGTCTCCCATATTTTGTTAAAAAGTCTTAAAATCATACTTAATGATAATTCTGATAAGTGCTTTATCATCTCATAGCATATGTCATCCTTGCCTGGAGAAGTATGTTTGACCCCTGCAAGCGCTCTCTTTAACTCATACAAAGTTAATTCTGAGTCTAACATACTTCCTGATGGATTCTTCTTTACATAAATGTGAACATTCTCCCTAACTTTCTGTTCCCTATATCTCCTCATATTATCTGAAATATTACCATTACTGTGCACCTTTACGAATGCTTCCACTAACATCTCTGCTTTGTCACTGTCTTTTATTGCTATTTTTCCATTATTTACTAACACTGGAATATTGTTATTTCTCTGAATCCCTCCCATCTTCCTAATCATATTCCAAACTTCATTAATTTAAATTTCTTCCCCAATTCTATTACAGAATTCTCTCCAGTAATTTCTTTTTGCTTTTCTTACCTCCCTCCTCACTTTTGCCTGTGCTCTCTTAAAGTTAATGTACTCACTAAACAATACAGATTTTCTGGCTTTCTTCATCGCTTTATTTTTTTTCCCTAATTGCCTTACTACACTCGTTATTCCACCACGGGACTGCCTTTTTACCATTTATAGTTTTCTTTTTGCCAATTACTTCTTCTGCCGTATTTCTTAACACTTCACTTATTTTCTTACTTAACTCTTCGATACTTTCAATACCATCTTCTATTTCACACATCTTGTTATGACACAATTCTTTAAAAAGCTCCCAGTTGGCTGCATTAAATTTCCATCTTGGAATTCTCTCCACCAAGGTTTGTATGATGTCCACACCAATTTTACACCATATTGGATAGTGATCACTTCCCATTGTACTTTGTTTACTTACATTCCATTCACATTTTCTAGCTAGATTTTCTGACACTAGAGTGATATCTAAAGCTGATTTACGCCCATGAGTTACATCTATTCTCGTACAACATCCATTGTTAATACATACTAACCGTCCCCAATCTAACATTTCTTCCACAACCAGCCCAATATTATCTGTTTTAACACTCCCCCATAGTGTATTATGGGCATTGAAATCACCACACCATATTACTTTCTGATTTGTGTTACCTCTTATATTTTCCAATACTTCCTTACTTAACTTTTCACATGGAGTGTAAAAGTTAACTACTTTAATAGTATGACTGCCTTCCCAGACTTCCATCATAACCACCTCTTGGTCCACACTCACGTCAACATTCCTATATCCCACACCTTGTTTTATAAATGTAGCTACCCCACCTCCATTACCTTGTTTCCTGTCTTTCCGAATAACCACATATCCTTGTAAAACAAAATTCAACTGAGGTTTGAGCCATGATTCTTGAACACATATTATATCAGGTTTATTTTCCAAATCAGAAATGAATTTTTTTAATTCTTGCCCATTAGCTATTAAGCTTCTCGCATTCCACTGAAATATTAAAAGCACCATTATGTACCACCACATCCTGGTTGGGTGTATGTTGTCTGCATCTTTAAGTTCTCATTAATCATATCCACCGAGATACCCTCGATCTCTAGATACTTTTCCGCTGCTTTGATTATAATTCTGATTCTTTCTGTCCGGCTTTCAGTTTGCGCTGAACAGTTCACTACTTCCGCCATAAAAGTAACAAATGCAACATTGTTCTTAATCCCAACTTTCTCTTGAGTTTTTTCCTTTGCCATATCAGTCTTTTGTTGAAGGATTTCTTTACTTTTGTCTCCTGATTCCAAATTCTTTCCTACCTGTTTTAGAGCCTCAGAGTATGACAATCCTTCCTGTATTCTAACATTCTGAACTTGAGCCGCATGTTTCCTCACCTTGCATCCTCCATATCCCGCACTGTGATCCTCTCCACAATTACAACATTTGGGATTAACTCCTTGCCCACACTTTACTACATTTCTTTATAATATACTCTATGTGGACTTTCCAAGTTAATTGATCATCAAACCACATTCCCAAATATTTAAAATTAGATACCTTTTCTAATGCAGACCCATTAAGTTTAAGCTGCTTATTTTCTTTAATTTTCCTCCTGGTAAATATCTGGTAATATGTTTTGGATAATGAAAATTTGAACCCCCATTCTAAAGACCACCTTTCTACTATCTCTATTGCTTCTTGAATTCTATCCAAATTAAAAGATACATTTCTTCCTCTTTTCCACATTATTCCATCATCAGCATATAAAGCCGTATTAATTCCTGGAGGCACTTCTTCAAATACATCATTAATCATAATGTTAAATAATAAAGGGCTTATCACACTCCCTTGAGGTGTTCGATAGGTAAAGAAACTGAAGTGGGTGAGGTTTGGGGTATGTTAAAGAAGATGATTGGGATATATAAAACTAGGAATAGTCCGATATTAACAGGAGTAACAGCTATCACAGAAAAGGAAAAGGCAGAAATATTAGTCAAGACCTTTCAAAAGGCACATAGTAAAGAAAATCCAAGGAAAAGGAAAGGAAAGCCAGGAAAATATGCATCATTAGCTGGGAATTACAGGCCAATAGCACTTACGTCTAAGTTTTGTAAAATAATGGAAAAAAAGATTGTAAATAGGATGAATCATGTATTAGAGAGTAAGGGTGGGTTAGCACCTTATCAATATGGTTTTAGCATAAGCCTACTTTTTTAAGGTAGTTGCTTGACTGTGTTAAATGGCTAAAAGTATAATAATATCGTGTGAGCTGTGGATAAACTACATTTC